AAATTACATACAACTATTAATAATCATAATAATACTACACATAAAACAAAATAGTAATAATATAATAAAAAACAATAATAGTACAATAAAATAAAAAAAAAAAAAACAAATAAAAAAAAAAAGTCTGTTTTAAATATTTATATATACGCATACATATGCACACTCATTTACATATATGTATGTATACACCTATATACACACATATACCCCCCAACACATATGCTCATACACATATACCTATATTCATGCATACATGCACTTCATTATATATCTCCTTCATGCACATGCATGAAGCAGTGCGCACACCCTCAAAACAAATTTGCCTCAGCTTCATTCTCCCATTGTCTTATTCATACATTATATGCATTTACATACGTTTCATCATAATTAAAATAAAAATAAAAGTAAAAAATGAGTTAATGAGGAGTTCCATTGACTTCATCAGTACATCAATCTTTAAGAGAAAGCATTAATGAGATAAGAAAAAAAAATAATAATTTGTGTATATGTATATATACCTCCATACACATACACATACATACCCATGCATGCATACATACACACAATATGCACATATATATACACACACATACCCATATACATACATATATATACACATATACATACATACACACCTATACCTACATGCATACGTATATGCCTTCACATACAAAGAGTATTAAGTCAGAGTCTACAGGTCAGACTACATATCACCGAACCACATCATTCTCAAAGTTGTGGAGCAGAATTTGTTAATCACAAAAAATCTATCATGAGCCACTTCCTTTGAAAAATTATTTCTTTGTTCCTAATTTTGTGGGTTATTTTTTCATTAATTTTTACCTCCTGTATTAACTTCACCCATTTTATAAATACTGGTGGATTTTCATTTTTCCATTCTTTAGTAATGGTTTTTAATGCCGTAATTCTTAAAATTCTAAATAAATAGTAGTCTTCTGGTGTTAAATTTACAGGTATTTTACCTAGTAGCATATTTTCAACCTTTATTTCCAATTGTTTCTTAAAAGTTCTTTCCATTTGTTTCTTTACTTCTACCCAAAAGGACTGTATTTTATTACATGTATAAAATATATGAGTATAATTAGCATTTTCTTCTCCACAATTCCTCCAACACTTACCACTATTATTTATATTTTTCAATTTTTCCGGGGTGAGGAAGTATCTCATATTAATTTTCCAGGAAAATTCTCTCCAAAACAAGGAATGAGTGGTTCGGTGATTTCCAATACTGATTTGTTCCCATTCTTTTTCTGTTATTTTTATGGATAATTCATCCTCCCATTTTTGCTTGATGTTTAAAACCATTTTTCCTTCTTGATTTAGTAACGCTTGATATATTTGACTGAGGCCATTTTGGATTCTTGAATTTGATAATCTTTCCATTAACAATATCATGGGATGAATCTCTTTTTTGTTTGTTATTTTATCTTTGAGATAGCTTCTTACTTGCAAGTATTTAAAGAATTGATTTGTCGGCAGACAATATTTTCTTGATATGTTTTCAAAGGATTCTATTCCATTGTTATTAAACAATTGATAGAATCTTACTAGTCCCTTCTCTGCCCATTTATCCAGTATATTATCCATACTACTCGCTTTAAAGTTTGGATCTTTTGCCATTTCTCTCAGATACACCATCTCATTGTCTTTAATTTTTAAATCTTTCATAATTTTCTGCCATATCCTAATAGTGTTCTGTAAACAATAATTGTTTTGCATTTCCATTTTATTTTCTTGATTTTGAGTTTTCACTACAAGGGATTTCATCAGGCCTACCTTATGAAGCTCCATCTCCTTCCAAATGGGATTGTCTTTGCTTATCCAAACCATAATTGACTTCATCTGGGCAGCTTTAAAATAGCTCTCCAGATCTGGCAGTGCTAGTCCTCCTTCTGATTTAGGCCGTTTCAAAAGTTTAAGTTTGACTCGAGGTTTTTTCTCATCCCAAAGGAATTTTCGAAGCAAACTATCCCATTCTTTAAAGTATCTGGGTGGTATGTAGCTTGGTAAATTCTGGAACAGGAACAGGAATCGAGGTAAAGTTGTCATTTTAATTGATTGAATTTTTGAATATATTGATAAGTTCAACAGTTTCCACCTATTAAATTCTGCTTTTATCAGGTCAATTAGTTTCATATAATTTATCTCAAATAATTGTTCCAGTCCTTTTGGTATGTATACCCCCAGATACTTTATGTGTTTACAATCCCATTTAAAATTATATTTCCTTTTTATTTCGTTACCCAAATGTCCAAACACCATAGCCTCAGTCTTTTCTTCATTTAATTTATACCCTGAATATTCACTATACTTTTGTATTTCACCCATTACATTTTCCAGGGATTGCTTGACATTTGTCACTGTTATCACATCATCTGCGTATAGGGCAAGTTTGTACTCATTACCTCCCATCATTATTCCCTTTACCTTTACATTTTGTCTAATGCTCTCTGCTAAGGACTCCATACACAGGGCAAAGACCAAAGGTGATAAACTGTCCCCCTGCCTCACACCTCGGTGTAGGCTAAAGGTGTTAGACAGGTTTCCATTGACCTTGACTGCTGCTTTTGGTTCTACATACATTATATTAAGAATTTGTATGATTTTATCATGAAAACCAAATGCCTTAAAGGTCTTAAATATAAAGTCCCATGACAGCCGATCAAAGGCTTTTTCAGCATCCAATGTTAACATTAAAGCCTGTTGTTTAGATCTGTCTACCCAATCAATAATGTTGAGAACTCTCCTCACATTGTCTGACAGGAGCCTTCCTTTTACGAACCCCGTTTGATCTTCTTTCACCAGAATTGGAACCAAGTTTGAGATTCTGCTTGCTAAGATCGATGTAAATAATTTTTGGTCCACATTTAGTAAAGAGACTGGTCGATATGAGCTGCATTTGGTGAGATCTTTACCCTCTTTCGGAAGAACACTGATGACTGAATCATTCCATGTAGCAGGCCATTCTGCCTTATCAATTATCCAATTAAACAACTTGCATAGAATTGGTGCTAACAAATCTTTGAAGGTTTTATAAAATTCATTGGCATATCCATCGCCTCCTGGACTCTTACTAAGTTTACTGTTTTGTATTGCTGTAAAAATTTCTTGAACAGAGATATATTCTAACAATTTAACATTTTGTTCTGTAGTTACTTTTTTTAAATTGAGTGACTCCAAGTATTTCTGAGTTTCTTTGTTGATATTTTCAGATTGTCCATATAGTTTCTTATAATATTCAAGGAAGCAGTTAATAATTTCATTTTCCTCAGTACAATAATTTAAATCACTTCCCTCTATTTTAGATATAATTGTTTTCTCTTTTTGTTTTCTTAGTTTAAAGGCTAACATCTTTAATGCTTTTGGACTATTGTCATAATACTGTTGCTTTGTAAGTGCAAGAGATTTTTCAATTTCATCTGTAAGTTTTTCGTTTAGATCATTTTGTTTTTCTTTTAGTTTCTTTTTTACTTGATCATCTCCCGTCTCTTCATGTTCTGTTTGTAATTGTGCTATTTGTCTTATTGAGTTAATCTCTTGCAGATACTTTTTCTTTTTCCAAGAAGCATATGAGATTATTTCTCCTCTTAGGGTGGCTTTAGCTGCTTCCCATAGAATAACCGGTGACATTTCCTCCTTTTCATTCTCTTGAAAAAACCTTTCTATGCTTTGATTGATTTTTTTAATGAAGTATTCTTCCTGAAGAAGTGAATTGTTCAGTCGCCAAAGTGTTCTTCTTTTTTCATTATTTATTTTTAAAATTACAATAATAGGGGCATGATCTCCCAAGATTATGGGTTTTATCTCACATGTTTTTAGTCTTGTGATGTCCTCCTTAAACATAAAGAAGTAATCCAACCTTGAATATATCTTGTGAGCTTCTGAGTAGAATGTATATTTCCTTTCTTGAGGATTTAGATGTCTCCAGCAGTCCACCAAGCCCAGCTCCTTTTCAGCTCTTTTTAGTACAGATGCTGTTTTCCCTGCCTTATGTTTTACTTTACTTAGTGAATCTTTGGCACACATTGTCATGTTAAAATCCCCTCCCAGAATTATCATCCCTTTCCCCTCTGTAGTCAATAGAGAAATCATTCTTCCCATGAATTCGGGATCTTGTCCAGGTGGATTATAAATATTTAACAAGGACATCACTTGACCATTAACTTTGCCAATAACAAACACAAATCTGCCCTCTTTATCCTTCACACATTTCTCAAGTTCAAATGGGGTACATTTCTTAATAATTATGGCCACTCCCCTCCTCGCTGTGGTATAAGATGATGAGAAAACCATGCCAGGTGTAAGCCTTCCCAATTTCTCATGTTCTTCTCTATTTAAATGCGTCTCTTGTAGAAATATGACTTCTCCTTCTTTTTTTAAATATTGTAATATCCGTTTCCTCTTGATGTGGTTATTAAGGCCATTTACATTTTGCGATACAATTCTTATCTCATTCATATTTATTCAGTTTAAGTCTCCCTTTAGTTGTGACACTCCTCAAAAAAGAAAATAAAAATAAAAACAAACACACATAAAACACAACTCTGACTTCCACTTGCCCCATCAGACCCCCTGATGGAAATGGATTCCCATGCTTTTTTATACGCATGATATCCCAGCTCATTCCCCTGAGCATATTTCCCTTGCAACTAAAAAAAAACAATGAGAAGACATGCTCTTCTCAAACGTCAAACCAAATATTATTTAGATTTTATATGGCTTCAGTATTAGCCTCTAAGTTTAAGTCAGGTGTCCCTTAGCTTCAGTTCTTAATCTGTCGTTTAAATTAAATCAAGAAAGTTCATCCCTCTCCGACAATAAGATTTAGAGGAACTCCTGTGACTTCATTTGAGTGTCCAAAGTCTTGTTAGATTTTCCTTGCTGTTTTGATTATCAAAACTTAACTCATTATCCTTGCAAATAAAGAAAAATAAAGTATCTGTACCTCTGTTCTTGCATCTTGTTCATGTCTGCAAGGTTTAGTTCTTCTTGGAGCGCTGGACAGTCTCCCATCCTGTGCGTTGCAGCTGCTGAATCCACGCTCCGCGCTCTGGAGCCACAGCACTCTCCGTGAGGCCGTAGGCCCGTTCTGCGTCTTGGGGCGTGTTATAGATCTTTTGTCCATTGTCCTCAATCACCAGTAACTTTGCTGGATAGCGAATATGCGATTTTATCCCATTTTCCTTCATGTGGTTTCGGATTCGCATGTATCCTTTTCGTTGATTTTGTAGTTTAGTTGTAAAGTCCTGGTCCAAATAGATGCGCTCTCCTCGATACAAAACCTCCTTTTTCATCCATGCGGTTCTCAGTACCAGTTGCTTGGCCTCCCATGTGGGGAAACGTACGATGATACTCCGTGGCTTAGTGCGTGCGTCTGGCCTGATCCCCGCCGCCGAGCGGTGCGCTGCCAAGAGCCGAAGTTTCTCCCTGGGCAGCTGCAGCGCCTCATGTAGGAGCGTCTCCACAAAATTGATCATATCTGTTGGGTCGTTATCCTCCTTGACGTTATAAATACGCACATTCATCTGTCGTGACTTATTTTCCAGGTATTCAACTCTTTTTTCCATTTCGCCTACTTCTTGTGTCAGTGTTTTAATTACATCAACAAGGATCGCGTCCCGCTCGTCAGCGCACCTGCCTCTGTCTTCAGCTGCATCCACTCTCCTCGTTATCTCCTCCATTTTGGCTTTTTGATGTTGCATTTCTTCTTTAATTTCTGACATCTCCTTTATTGTTTCTTCACGAAAGGCTTTCACTTCTCCGCGGAATTCACGTAGTTCTTTTGTGATTTCTGCGTTGGCTTCTTTTAACAGCTCTTTCATGCGCGACTCGTCCAGGCTTGCCATGCTTGTGTCTTTCCTCTTAGTCTTTTTTTCCTTTTTCGTTTTTTCAGCAACTCTACCAGAACGTAAATTCATTCCAAATACTCCGATCTCTTTCAATTTTGTTTCTTATCTTGAGGCTCCAATCATTATTTCTTCAATTTGGTTTTCTGTTTGAGAGCCGCACGCTCATACACCGTCACACCCACATCACCGGAAGTCCAACAGTAATAAGTATTTTGGTTGTGCGAACAATCTCAAGTTTGCAAATAAGGGGTGAGCACTTGAGATTTTATGCAAATGCATGGGTTCACAAGTTTTATTATTAGCCACTACATAATCTTATGTTGAGTGTTTATTCGTTTTTAACCAAACAGAAAAATTGTTCGCTAAAAAGTGAAAAGTCAAAAAATGTCCGATGGGTAGTCGAACCCGGGTCGTTGCGACTGAAGTCTCATTACGCAACCGCTACACCACCGCCAGGCATGTTTCTTGACTACTGGGAACAACAATAGATAACACCCTAAACAAACGACGCGAGGTTACAGCCTGACACGTGAGTCGCTCGGTCGAGGACCTGTTTTCCACGTCTAAACGACGTAAGGTGTGCATCTGGACGTAAAGCAATGCCTTCCCAGACGTTGATATTACGTTGAATCTGTACCTCTGTCGCTGCCCTGCTTTATTTACTTGGAATCACCCTCTCTAGTAAGTACACAGTCTGCACAGTTTTTAGATATAGATGTATCATTTCCACATTGAAAAGAGTTGGAGACAGAAATTAAGTTGTTTTCTCACGTATACGTGGATTTTGTTAAGTATATTTTGTATATTATCTGTATTTTGAATTGCCAGTGCATGAATCTATAATAATAACGGCTGGCACTGCTCAGCTGAAAGGGAGACACCTTTTTTTAGTTTTTAAGTTAAAGTTTAAAATATGATATTGTTTTTCATATTTCAAACTATTTTTAACACATTAGAATGCTTAGGTTAGACTGTCCAACAAACTATGTGTTAAAAAAGGTTAAGATTCTTGAGTTTTAAAATAATAATTCAATTCTAAAATGTAAAGTTACTGTATATTTCACAATGGTTTATAAACTCCAAAAAGACAACAGTACTTAGTAAACTAAGTTTAAAAACAGGGAGATCAGCTTTAATATTTGGGACACTCCCATCATTTAGACACCTGTGATGTCATCAGTTGGAGTTGAGTTCAGGTGTGGGACCATGTGGGACCATGTGGGACCATAGGAGCACACAGATGTTACCTGCTGCAGAAAGAGAGTTTAATGTTCATGTATTGCTTTGTTTAATAAATTGATTTAATGTCTTCCCAGGTCTTCAATGTCAGAGACTTTCACTTCTTCTCACTGTGGCTGTTTAAATGAGCCACTACAGTTGTTATTTTTGTTATTGTTAGCTGCAAATATTAAATATCCATTCATCTGCTGGTAGCAAGCTAACTAGCGCTTGCAACTCTATTCAATTTCTTACTTTTTCTTATAAACTTTAAAACCAGCCATATGTTAATTAAAATACATTTACCTTTGCTAATGCAGTCAATTATTGTGAAATCCATAGAGTATAATTTCATGATTGTTGCAATAACTAATGTTCTATGTGTATTCCTAATGTGTCATGTGTGTTTGAGTCTTACAGGTGTCAGACTGTGTTGAAGGTGTTCAAAGGTAAGACTCTCACATATTGATTGTTCTTCTGTATTATTATGTTGTTTTTAGAATAAACCATTATTTGGTGTATTCTCTTTGAAAACATCTATCTTTTTCTCAGATTGTTCAGTAACTCACTCAAGATGAGGGAAAAGAGCAACAAGGGGAAAATGCCCCCTCGGAAATGCAACATGTGTAGAGTAATACAGGGTAAGTAGCTTTCAGGGCTCATTTGTCCATGTGCAAAACAAATGCACATTTGCAATTGTTTTTACATGGAATTACTCCAATGACCAAAGCCTTATCCCAAGTTTCTCAGACGGAGTGTCTTCCAGTGTCTCGAGCTAGTGCAGTGCCAAGGTTTGTATCACATGGTGATGGATCGAGTGGTTTGAGGCATTAACAGAAAGTTATGTGTCGTTATATCACTTTGCCACATTATGTTGAAACTAAACATGTTCCACATTTTCAGGTGCTGTGCTTGGACCTTGTGATGAGAGACTGAAGACCAAGAGAGGACACATGTTGGAACCTCAACATTCAATAAATGCATTCTTCTGCCTTTCAGATTGTGTTTTTACATCTGGGGAACCTAGAGTGTAGCTTGTGCCTGTTTTAATACTGATCTTAACATAGGCGCTACAATCATGTTTTTTTACTTTGGCATGAACTGTTCAGTACAGTAGTGTTCATAACACTGTGCCCTGTGTGCTTTAACTTGTACTTTGATGTAGAGAAACATGATTTTTAATGCAGCTCCATTTGCAATAATGACTGATATCCTTCTACTACAGTTGTTCTAATGATTTTTGAATGCTGTGTTTATCGTTTATTGCCCAGAGTCAGAACTAAACATGAAAAAGCTGCATTTCAGATTCACAAGGCTAAAATCTGGAACGGTCTTCCTGGAAATGTGAGCCAGGCTTCTTCTTTGACAATGTTAAAATCCAGGTTTAAAACACTTCTGTTTCTGCTTCAACTGAGAGATTTTATGAGAGATTTTATTTGTATCTTTTTAATTTACTGTCAATATTTATAATTGTAATGCCTTGTTTGATTGTTTCTATCTTTTGTTCAGTGCTTTGAGTTTCCTTTTGTTTTGACTGTGCTATACGAATAAACTTGCCTTGCCTATTGCAAAAAGTATGTCTCGACCAGTGAGTGATTCTGCAGAGGTTAAGTAGGTCAATAGGACTGTAAATGGACGTCATATAAACGTCAATATTTTGGTCATATAAGACGTCGAGAGGACGTCGGACCCGACCGGTTCTGTACCACATTGCAACCTTGAATGAACGTCCAGATGACGTTGAAATTACGTTGTATTGACATCTGCTTGCTTAGTGGGAACGACTGAAAACGAACGTCATATAAACGTCAATATTTTGGTCATATGAGACGTTGATAGGACGTCAGACCCGACCGGTTCCGTACCACATTCAAACCTTGAATTGACGTGCCATCAACGTAACATTTGGAGGTTGTGGTGACGTCGGGAAACGACGTCGAGAAAACTTTCATTCTGCACCCACCAGTGACCTATATTCTACGTCGGACAACGACGTTCAAATTACGTTGATTCAACGTCGGCTTGCTTAGTGGGCAGAAGTAGTGTGATGCATTATATGTGTAATTTAGTTTTTTTTGGTTTGACACGGTAAAGTGAAGCTTGGTTACTTAAATTGTAAAGATTTAAAGAGGTTTTTCAGACGCCATTGAAAAATCTTATATGTTTATAACGAAAAAAATATAATATAGAGTATACTACAGGGTCATATGGTGAAAAAAAATATTATTTGCAGACTGAATAAAATGTAATTATTAACTAGATTTTGTCCAAGCCACAACCTCATTGTTTGCAGGCAAGGACACCATAACTGCACTGGCAAGGCAAGACAAGTTTATTTGTACAGCACAAATCATATATATAAGGCAACTCAAAGTGCTGAACAGAATTAGTTAGAATAAATAGTCCATTACATAGTACATTAAGTGAAGATAAAATTTCTGCCCTATCCAGTTTTAGGATTCTAAAACTAAAACTTTTATCAGCAGGGACCGCATCATTAATTGCATCTACTCTACTTCCCGCTCAGCTCACTCTTTACACCGGTGTGTGTAGGTAAACTCTGCACATTAAAGGCCTAAAAATGGAATCCCTCTCTTTCAGCTGCCTGATGGATGCCTTGTTTCCCGTGTTTACTATAAGCTCCTTAGAGACAGGAAAAACAAACCTTTGGAGTGTCCTCATTTCATGTTTGTGTCTGCGCAAAGAGCCTGGCTGTCCAAACACTATGCGAGATAATGGGGACGAGCAGGTTTTTAATGGAGATGTGATTTGTGGGGCCTTCATGCATGTCCTGCTCCCTCCACGATCAGCCAGGAACAAACATACGGAGAGACACAATGAAGGGGTCAGGAGGAAAAGCTTGGAGATGTGCCAAAAAGTGAGAAAATGTAGCTTGTTTGGATATTCTTGTTGTAATCCTTGAGTTAAAAAGAGCATTGCACCGAAATTATGTTACAAAGGAAACTCTGGGAAATAGAAAATCGTTCTAAAAATTGGAATATTGGAAAAAAATCCAAGGCTCTTGGATTGCCTTGGTGCTTTGGATTTCTTTCTTGTTTTTCTAAGAATGTGCACACCTCCAACTGAGCACCTGGTTCTCAGGACTTTGAAAGAAGCGCTTCCGACTTCCAATTTATGATAAATATCTTATGCATGCAAAATGACACATTTTCAAGACGTACTTTTTTATAATTGTGATGATTATGGCTTACAGTCCATTTAAAAAGTATATATATATATTTTTTTTATTTGGGGTTAATACTAGCCATCTGTAAACTCTGTTAATTTATTATTTCCATGTATTATTTCCATGTACGTCTGGCTCTGATCTCAGTGGCTGTGGTTACCTTAAATCCCATCCGACCAATCAGCGAGCGGGGGAGGCGGGTGTTATAGGCAGGTGTCAGTGACATCAAGAGTTTGCGCCAAATTTGCTGGTTTTAGTTTGGTTATCGTTTGCCGATCGTTAAGTAATTATTTCTGGCTCCAAATATTCTTCGGCTCCGAATTTCAATAAATTGAAGCCGGAGCAAGAGGAATATTTGGCAAATCAATTTTCATTGTTGGCAAAGATGTTGTGGCTCTACTCCCCACGGGGTTCGCCAAAAGCCTTATTTTCCAGTTAGCTCCGTCGGTGACAAAGGAGATGGCTAGGCTAAATGCTAGTGGCCGCATCACCACCATTACAATACAAACTCAGATCCAATCATTTAAATCTGCAAAAGGAGTTAACGCCTCCCACCTGTAAACAGAGCTCAATGGAGCCAATCTAGACCTAA